CTGAGAGCAGCTGACTGAGGCACTAGAGCGCCCAAACCGCTGGCTGCAAGGGTCAGACTCTGATGTGGGGGCTTTTGGGAGAACCCTGCCCCCCGCAGGGGGTGCTGTGACCAATGGCCAGTGGGATCTGGGAGCAGCCATTCACTAAGAGGATGAAGCCCCTGCCCAGGACACACCCAGCCTCCACACCCCCCCAGGAGGCCAGGACCTCCAGAGCCCCCTCCGCACCTTCCCCCAGGAGCCTCTTAAGTCAGTTCGCATCCCCGTCTCTCAGCCAAGGAGAGATGGGGGTGTTGGAAACCAGGAGGCAGCCAGGCAGGGCTCCACAGCTGGGCAGCCCTGCTCATATGTCAGAGAATCCCATGCCAGCCCTGTCCTTAGCCTGGGGGGCCCAGAGGTGTGAGATCCAGGCCCTGGCTCACATGTATCCACCAGTGGGTGCAGTAGACAGACAACACGACCAATGTGGGGTGCTGAATGGTGGCCCCCAAAAGATGTGTCTACACCCCAGATCTTATCTGGAAAAAAGTCTTTGCAGATGTAATCAAGTTAAGGATCTTGAGACAAGGCCATCCTGGATTACCCAAGGGAGCCTAAATCCAACAAGTGTCCTTATAAGAAGAGGGGGGACAGGACGCACAGAGGACCAGGCCGAGTGAGGACGGAGGCCGAGGCTGGAGGATGCAGCTGCAGGCTTCAGAGGGAGTGAGCTCCTGCCAACACCTTGACCTCAGACTTCCCACCTCCAGGACGTGTGAGAATAGCACCAGTAATTTGAGGCCCCCCAGTCTGTGGTCATTTGTTCCAGAATCCCCAGGGCACTCATGCTACCTTCTGGGCTCGTGGGTTCAGGAAACGAGACATCTTCTTGAGGCCTCTGCCAGGGTCTGACTGTCTGGGAGCCACCAGGATGAGGACCACAGAGGCCTCAGGCCCAGGAGCCTCCCACCTGGCAGGGAGCCCTTTAAAGAATGACTCGGAGGACGGAGGCAGCTCAGGGGCCAGGGGAAGCCAGGCAGGAGAACCAGTGCCTCACTCAAGTCAGAGTGTCCACCAGGCTCTCCCTCCCTGCATGAGAGGGCAGGGACATTTCAGAGCCTGCCCCACCACCACCCTCCCTGCCCTCCTGCCTCCTGGGGTTGAGGTCTCAGTCAAAAATGAAGCCCAGGGTCATAGCCCACCCCTCGACCCACACAGGTGGTCCCTGCCTCCCTCCATCACAGCTTTCCTGTCTGGCTCACATGTCTCTGTGCTCCCCACACCCATCCAGCTGCTTGGTCCCATTAACCAGTGGGACGGACCCGTGGTGGGTGCCTCCAACATGCCAGCCATTCACCCTCTTCCCCGGGGTCTGGGAGCAAGACCCTGCACAAGAGCCAGGGTCCATGCACGTCTCCGCAGGCACCACAAGGATGGAGGCAGTGAAGTGGTTGCTGACCCCACAGGATGCAGGAGAGGGGAGACTTTCGGGGCCTTCCCCACACATTTTCAGGGCCACCTGGATGGGCTTGTTTGCCATTCAGCCTGAGCCTCCTGGAGCCCCTGGCCCAACCTGTCTGATGCGGAGCAAGAGCTGTGAAAAGAGGCGTGAAGAGTCTGCTCTGATCTGCGGGGGTGGAGACCCTGTGATCAACCCCAGAGGCTGCTGGGAGCACAGAGCAGGGAAGAAGCAGGAAGAAGAGCCTTGGGGGGCAGACTGGGAGCAGAGTGGACCCCTAGACCACTCTGCCCCAGAGGGATACACACACACACACACACACACACACACACATAGCTGCAGGGGCTGGAACCCAGGCCAGATGAGCCCCAGGGAGCACATGCCCTCGGGCCAGGCCCTTTCCCCAGGTCGGGCTAGGCTGGGTAGCCAGGCGGGCTCCTTTGTCCCTTTGTGCTGGGCTGCGAAGGGACAAACTGGCTGGCTGGCGGCTGCGCTGGAGACATCTCCCAGGAGCCCTCCCTCCCCGTTCCGTGGATGCGGGCCTGTTACACAACAGACCTAAGAATAATCCGGAGGGCGGGCAGTGCAGGGAGAAGGCTGTCCTGCCTCCCGGGACCCCTAGAGCTTCGGCAGGGGGTGGAGTCAATGGCATGTAGGTCCTGCTGATGCCCGGGGCCGGGGTCTGTCTGGAGGCTCGGGGACACCCCAGGGCATTCCCACCCCCAGCACCTGGGAGACTGGGCAGTGGAGTCCTGACTCCCACCCCAACCCTGGCTCCCAGGACAGGTCTGGCAGTTGGGAGGGGCAGGCAGAGCCCTAGAAGGCCCAGGGCCCTGTCTGTCCAGTGGCCCTTGGGGTCAAAAGTCCTCCTGGGCTGCAAGAAAGCTGCAGGTTCAGTGGGTATGTGCCCTGAGCCCCTGAGGGCTGTCCTTTCCCAGTGGCTCCCAGCATGTGGGGCCTGGGGAATACAGTGGACATGGGTGCAGGACAGGGTAGGGGACAGTCAACCCAGCAGTGACAGGAGGGGAGCAGGTGCGGAGCAGCAGGGGACCCACCCATGGGTCCCGAGCCCAGACTTCCTTCCTTCCAGGGAGCAGCCGGCAGGGTGGGCAGGATAGTTGCCAGCTAATGAAGTAGTCCAAATAAGTGCAAGGTAGCAGAATATATACAAATTGGCCCACAGCTCTTCATCTACTGCAGACATTAAAAATTAAAATCCAATTACAACTCATATTGTCAAACCTGGCTGCTGCCGCTTACAGCAACCTGTGTGCAGGGTGGGGGATTATGTAAGCTGAGCTCTCAGCTGCAAGGAGTGAGGGCCTCGAGGAACCTCCTAGAGGGTCTGCAGGCATCTCTCCTATCCACTGGCCCCTCTGGCACCTAAGGGATCCCACAGACCTGCCAGCTGAGGGAGTCCCTGCCTGGCCACCCCCAGGAGGGGTTGCTGCCAGCCTGCTGGTCGTCCTCCCAGGGCCCCCAGCGGCCCCCTGACAGCAGCCGCATCAGCTCTGCCGGTGGCTGGATGACAAGCCCAACCCCGGGGACCCCAGCCCAGCCTCCGGCTCACTGCACTCCCTGGATGTGCCTCATACAAGAGGTCAAGGCCGGCAGACCGCCCCACCTCCGGCCAGGGCACCCAGGCACAGCACACACTACCTGGCCCAAGAAAGGGGGATCCCTCTCCCACCATGGGCACAGGGTCACAGCCTCTGGCCAGGCACAGGCCAGGGCCTCCGAGCTCTTGGACCTTGGGAAAGGGGGCTGTGGGGACCCTTCAGCCACGATCCAAGGGCATACGCTCCACCTGCCTCCCCGCACTTTCCGGAACCTCTGATCTTCCCCAACAGGGCCACATAGAGGATGTGGCTATGGGTTAAATGCAGATGGGAGTTGGGGGCGGGGGGCTGCTTATCCCAGAATCCTAGGTGAGACAGGCCAGCTGGCTCCTGTTCTCACCACCCAGGAAAGGAAATGATGACCTCTGACCTCTGTGAACCCCCTCTGGGGCTGCAGCTCTCTGACTGGGCTGTGGGCTCAGAGGACCCTGGCTGATCACAAATGCTGCCATGAGTGCAGCCTTCGGGCCCCAGGTGCCCCAGTGTCACCTCTCAGGGGTCAGGCACAAACGAACAGAGAGAACACAGAGCCCGCACATTTTCAGGGGTGAAGGCCATAGGGAAAGGCCAGCCTGGGCAGGGGGTCTGTGGTCACTCTGTGCTGCTCAAGGGTCCCTGAGCAAGACAGGTGGAAGAGAGGGGTAGGGAGGCCTTCTGCTTCCTGGGCTTCCTCCCTCAGCCAGCCACAGAGGTGTCCACATCCCCAAAATGACACTGGCCCCCTAGCTCCATTCGCAGGCCCCAGGCCCCAGGAAGGCCTGCTTCTCCCACCCCCACCAGCAGACCACATGGGCAGAGCTTTCCCTGAGCCTGGCTGTGTCCTGCCAGCCACAGCAGTGCCCACCGCATGCACCCCTGCCTGTCAGCACTGGGAGAGGCTGGCCCAAGGCCAGAAGCGGCACCTGCAGCCCCAGGAGACATGCCAGCACCCTCTCTGCGCAATGTCCACCCAGCACCCAAAAGGCAGGGCCCCTGTTGCGCTGTCCATACCCAGCTAGAGAGCATGGCCTCTGGACCAGGGCTCTGGGGGGCGCAGTCTCAGGTCAGACATCCATCCCCAACCAGGGCAGGAAAGTTTGCAGGGGGCGGCCTCCAGATCCCTCAGCCCACACCTGCAGCCTCCAAAAAAGCCCAGGACCTTTCCCATTCCATCCTACTCCCACACCCCGGCCAGACCCCTATAAGATCAGGGCCCCCTCCCGAGGTCTGGACCTCAGAAGCAGCTCGACCCACCAGGCGGCGGCGGCGGAGGCCGGCCAAGAGGGGAGCCGCTCGAGCCCCCTCCCCTCTGGGGCCCGGACCCGCCGCCCAGGGCAGCGGCGCCCCCGCGCGTCCACGGAGCCCCGGGCGCAGCAACAGGAGCGGCGCGGCACCTACTGTGCTTCCGCGGGGCGGCTCCCGCGTCCATTGTCTCCGAAGCGGCGGCGGCGGCGGGGGGCCGAGGCAGTCCGGGCTGGGGCGCTGTGAGCGGCCGGCCCGAGGCTCGGGCTGGGGCGCTGTCAGCGGCCGGCCCGGGGCTCGGGCTGGGGCTGAGGCTCAAGCTCGGGCGGCATCGCCCCACCGACTCGGAAGCCCGCGGCGGGCTGTGAGCGCGGCGGGCTCGGCGCGCTGACACTGCGCCCCGTGGAGGCGCCGCGCGCGGAGAGCGCTGTCACTCGTGCCTCCCGCACCACACCCCCTGCCCGCCCCGCGCGGGGAGGGGGCCGGGGGCGCGGGCTCGCAACCGGCGCAGAGCTGCGGGCGCGGGCCGTGGAGCCGGAGCGCAGAGCGTGGGGCGCCGGGCGCATAGTGGGGCCAACCGACGGGTCCCACGCCGGCCCGGCCAAAGTATAATACATTCGGGGCAAGGATGCGCCGGCAGCCTCCCCGCCCCGCCCCCACCCCCCCTCTCCGGGCCTCGGGTACGCCCGGGCCGCGGGACCGGGAAGGGGGCGGGGCCGAGAACCGCTTCCCCAAGCCGAGGCAGCGCACTTGTGGAGCCGGTAGTTGGCTCCGTGAAACGGATATGTGCCAGGCGTTGCCCTCCCACCACACTCCCATCCACCGCCACCCTGGTGCTTGAAGCAGGGACCTGGGCCACCCCTCACCCAAGGCGTAAGGTGGCATGTGCAGAAACCTGCAGGAGTGCCTGGAGCTGGTAGGGGAGGAGTGGCGGCCCAGCCTCAGAGCGGTTCCTGGGCAGGACACCAGGCACCCCCCCACCCTCAGCTCACATCAGGGGGCCGAGGGCCCTGAGTCGGAGGAGGGGCTCATAGCTGCCGCTGTCTTGGAAATTGCTCCCCCCCGCAGTCGGGAGAGAGCCTGGACACCAGGGGCAGCAGTGGAACTGCCCACCGCCCGCCCACCACAAAGGACAACACTTCCTAGCAGCTGCCCCAGCACACTCCTTGTCAAAGTTTCAGGTCCTCGGGGGCCCCCTAAGCAGTGACACACAGGCTCTGGACCATAACCTATCCTTCGTGGGACCTTCCAGCCAGATCAGGCTTCCTTGAGAGCGCCCCACTGCCCCTTTCTACTGCAGTGGAGGAGGCAGGAACAGGCCGGTCAGAGAACAGGTCCAGCCAGGCACCCATGTCCAGAGAGGCCGAGATCCCACCTGCCAGTCCTGGTCTAGTAATGACAGGAGATAAGATGCAAGCTCAGGTCCAGGCTCCCCACAGACCGGTGCAGATGTAACCTCAGCTCAACCCCTCCCCTCTCTGGGCCTCAGTTTCCCTGAATATAAGACCTGTTGATCTCTAAGGTTCTTTATAGACTGTTGCAGCCTGGAGGGGCCCAACTTTCCCCAGGCTGCATGGTAGGTGCCACAGACAGTGGGATGGACCTCAAGATCCCTCCCAGGCAGGGCCTCACTGACCCCCGAGAGACAGCATGCTGACACTGGTCAGGGCCAGCCTATCTCCCAAGATTTCTGCTTTCCCGGTGCACCGGACAAGGGCTGAACTCCTGCTCCCAGCCCCGCCCACACACCTGCACTAGGAGCTGCAACCAGACAAGTACTCTTCCTTACCCAGGTGTCCCTGGCTGGCTGCTATGCAGGCCTCCCCATCACCACCTCTGGCCTCAGGGCCTCCCTCCAAGGCACCCTACCCCTGCTTCTCCTACACGGGCCTGAGCGGGCTGCTCTGGCTCCAAACCCTCAGGGACTCTGCTCTCCTGTCACTCAACACAGACCGCTCAGCCTGATGCCCAGGGGGCCCCACCCACTGGCCTCCACCCCTGTCACTTGGCTCCCAAGGCCTGGAGTGAGACCCCCACCTCCAGGAAGCCTTCCCTGGTTCCCTCATCCTCCGGGCTCACTTCCTCTGGGACTGCCACACAGAACTTCCCTTGAGATGTCACAGGGGCTTTGCTCTTGTTTCCAGTCTGTCTTCAGCAAGATGATGAGGGCCCTGCAGGCAGGGCACCCTGTGCCCACTGCTCCCCCAAACACACCAGCCTCTCTGGCTGCAGGTGGCCTCAGGCACATCTGCTCTCCAGACTGACCCGCTGCCCCAGGCACCTGGAAACCATCCCCATGGGCAGCATTGCCTGGCTCTGGAAGCAGCAGGTGGTCCAGGCGAGAGCCCAAGGTCACCCCTGAGGGCAGAGGCCCGGAGACACACACGTCGAGGCGGCAAGAGGCACAGCGCACGCCATGGGCAGAGCAAGGGCACGCTCACCAGATCAATAAGCGTAATTGGGTGAATGTGCAATTCTCACCCACTAAATTTAGAAAGTGTTTCAGTTTTCACCAGCATCTGGTCTTAAGACATCTCGTTCTCCATCAGAACTCAAGATAACATGCAGGATCAGAGCCAGCTCACCCATCTCCCGCCTCTACACACAGTGCAGGGGGCAGCCCTGGCTGGGCCAGGGCAACCAGCCATCTCCATGGGCACTGGAAGGGGAGTGGGTGAGCTGCCCCCAGACCTCCCGGGAACTTTGCTGCCCCAAGATGGCGCTGACTGGGGGGATCTCTGATGGGCTGGAGGTCTCTACAGGCTCTGCCAGCCCTTAGGAACCATCTATTCCTGACCCTGCCTTTCCTTGGAGAGGGAGCTGAGGTGCAGCAAGAGGAAGGCACCTGCCCCAGGCCTCCCCCGCCAGAGACCAGGTATTTGGCTCCCAAAGTGCTTTTTTCATTGGCAAGGGTGGGCACTTACATCTGGGTCTGGCAGGACAGGGAGGGTGCCTGAGCTGGGTCAGGACTCAGGGAGCCTGGTCCAAGCCATGTATAATGTGGCCATCCACAGGGCAGGCCAGCCTGAACCCATGGGTCGGGCAGCACAGTCCGCATCTAGATGAAGGAGGTAGAGCACATGAGCAACCCCCCCACCAGGGGCTCTCAAGTCCTGGGACCTGCAGGGGAACTGCCTGTGGACAGGAAGGGTGGGAGGCTGGTGGATAGGCAGGGGTGGGGCAGAGGGCTGCTTCCAGAGCAGGAGCCAAGGTCAGCTGGGGAGAAAACAGTCAGTGGCTGCAGCTCACAGCAGCATGGATGTGAAGGTCAGCAGGCCAGGGAGGAGGTATGGATGGGGCTGGGCTGGGGTGGGGAGGGGAGGACAGAGTCCTTGACCTGCCCAAGCCAGGGGTGGCTGGAGCTGCCCTCTCCTGCCCCGGATGGGGAACAGGACAGGGTGGAGAAGCACAGCACCCTCCCCGTCTTCCCTGAAGGCACCCCAACCCACTCTCGGTGCCCACCACTGCCTTCTCACCTAGCTGGGGGTCACTGGCCTGGGAGCAGCAGGGAAGGACCTGGGTGACAAGGAGGGAGATGGGGAGGGGAGGGGAGTGTGCCTTGGAGAGTGGGGAGGGACAGAGAGAGAGGGTGTCCAGAGCACAGGAGGGTGGTCCTAGCAGAGAGACCCTCCCCAGGGCCACCCCAGGGGGGTCTCTGGACCAGGAGACACTGGGGCCTGCCCCTCTTCTTACCCCACACCCAAGTCCTGGCCTATTCCACCCACCACTCTTATGAACCAAATATGGCTCCCATGCAGTGGCCAGCCCATTCATTCATTCCATTTGTTTGTTCCTTCAGTCCTGTAACCACTGACAGACACACTTTGTGAGTCCCCAGGGTGCCCAGTGGGATGACTGGGAATTCAGTGGACCCCCATCCCAAGACCCCTGCCCTAGAGGCCTCTGCCCACTGACCAGCATGAGCCAACCAACTTGCCTTGCACACTGGTTGATGAAAACTGTCACAGCTGACACTAGGCAGCTTCCTGGAGGGAGCACAGCAGGAGAGATCCTCAGAGTGGAGGGGCTGAACAGAGGGAGAAGGGCTGGGAGGTACGAGATAGGAAAGGGATGCAGGGGCCAGATCACAGAGGGTCTTAGAGACAAAAGTGAGGGGGTGTTCTCAGGTCAGGTCCAGAAGATAAGTAAGACAGGTGGTTAGTGGGGAGAGGGCAGGAGACGGGAGATGGGAGGCTGTGCAACAAGAGGTCTGGCTGCAGGCCTTGTTAGGCAGACGTGGACACCCAGGTGGCTCAGACAGGCAGGGCCATGGGCAAGGAGAAAAGTGTGGGGACCCGAGACATTGAGGAGCAGGACTTGGGGGCGGTCCTGTCCTCTCAAACTGAGCTGACATCAAATTCTCAAGCTGACGAGTCTGAGATTCAGGCAGAGCCATCTGACTGGCCTTGGGAGGTCCATGGTGCACCTGGCCAGGAGGGGGTCCTGGGCATCTTGAGTGGGGTGACCCCTGGTGGGAGTAGAGAGTGGATCTCAAGTCTCTGGGGCGGGCAACCATGCTCAGAGAGCAGGGGGTCTGAACCGGGCAGAGTGGCACCCTGCTGCTGCCCAGGTGCCTGCCTCGTGGCCAGTTTGGATAGAAAGCAGACCCCGAAGCTGTCATCCAGGGGCCAGGTCTGGACTACATTCTCCCTCTCCCACCGGCTCGGGTCTGGAGTCCTGTGCCCGCACACACTGAGAGCTACCTGTCCCCTGCCCACATAGCTGCCCAGCTCAGTGGGAGGACAGAAGCCTTGGGCACTGGGCTCTGGGGTAGGTGCTGGGAGGGGCCAAGCACGACTTCACGCCCCTCACCCCCACTCCCACCTGAAGGGTGTCCTTCCTGGCCCCACCCCTCCTCATCTAGCCAGACTCAGGAGAGATTGGACCAGCTCCCTCACCAGTCCCTGCAGAGAGCTCCCCACCTGCTACCCCTAACACCCTTCACCTCACAAACACATTCACACACACTCTGGCCTCAGCAAAACCCAAACGACTTCTGCTGAGCTTGCTACTAGCCTGGCTGGCTTCCTCTGGCCAGGATGGTTGGTACGGTGCTTGGAGAGTGAGCTACCAGCAGTGGTCAACTCATCGGTGTCCTGTGTCCAGTGCATGAGGCCCCCTGCTCCCCTGGCCTCACTCTGGAAACCCCTAAGACCAGGTTTCCTCCCACAGGAAGCAGCTCCCAGGCTACCCGCTGCAGCCCCCAACTATCCGCTGGCCCCATACACTGGACCAGCCGCTCCATCCCCTGCTTCTAAAGCCGTGGCCCCTTCCCTTCTCCTGATCAGAGTTCAGTGGTCCAGCCCCCGTTTCCGCACTGCCCTGGGGTGCCCACCCCCCTGTAGACCCGGTGGGATGGTCTGGGGAGCATCTGCCTCCCCACCCGCCATCACAGCCAGGTCTCTGTCCCAGAGCCCGGCCCAGCTCTGACGTGTGCTGGGTTTCTGGTGCATGGGTAGTTGGGAGCTGCAGGCCCCACACTTGTCAGAAGAAATCTCCCCTGTGCAGAAGCTCTGAGCATGGGGGACTCCCATTCCACCCCAGGTATGGAGGCTGGGGTATCCCTCTACACCCAGACCCTGGGTGGATGCTCAGGACCAAAACAACTCATGGCTTCATCCACACAACCAGCCCAGATTTCATGATGACAAGAAGTATCAGTGCACGTGGCACCAGGAAGAGGGGCCTACAGGATCAGAGGACATGATCAGAAAGGTTCTGTCCCCCTGTCCACATGGCCAGGAAACCGTGCAGTCGAGGGCTCCTCTACTTGCTTGGGTGGGGCATTTACTAGAGGAAACACCTTCACCACACGCTTCAAGACTGGGGAGTCCAGTTGGCCTGCTCACCCTCTGGGCCACCTGTTAGAAACTGTGTGTAAATGAAGAGTTAATAGGCCACGGGTGAGCACCTGAGGGAAGCGGATGAGCTCACAGTACTTGGACTTTATAATGTCTACATCGTCTACTCACAGGCAGGGTTTGGTTTTGCTTCTCTAAACCAGGCTGCATTCTGGATTCCTGAGGATAAGGACACTTCATGAGGGGAGTGCGCCCCTGCCCAGAGGCCCCCAGGGTGTCCAGAGAATGAAGGAGCCCAAAGCTGCTATTGTCCAAGGAGCCACAGTCACTTTGCCCAGATGCAGATCGTCCTGAAGGTGAGTCCATGAGTTCTGCCTCCTCCAAAAAAGCCCATGGCCCCGCACCAAGCAAGGAAAAGTGGCTGGGGAGACCAGAACAAGGGCAGCAGACGCCAAGGCTGCCCAGGAAGCTGAAGGCGGGAACTTCAAAGAGCTTGGCGCACATCAAATGCCAAGACCACGGTGCCTCCAAGGAAACAACCAGAGGTGCAGACTGAAATGCCTGCATAACTACCAGTGATCACATGCTCACTAGGTGCTCGGTGACGGCCGAGGCACCACATCCACCAGAGTGAGGCAGCCAAGGAAATTCATGCTTTGGAAGAAGATGCGAAGGTTAGAAGGGAGCCACAAGTCTAGGCTCCCAGGGCAGGGCTCGACAGGAGGGAGCAGGACAGCGAGAGGCACAGGTGGTGACCTACAGCAGCTAGAGCCTGCACACAGAGGTTCAGGGAAGGCTGTGTTCTGTGCCTCCAGACCATCTCCTCCAGCAAGTCCTGCTTCCTCCCTCAGCAGAAAAGAAACACAGCAAGGCCAGCACAGGGGGAACCAACTCCCAGGTAAAGCAGGCAGTCTGAACACACTTCGAAGCCCTCCTGCCATATAGACTCATAGTTCACACTCCTGCCATGTAGACTCACTCCAGTCCCCACCCCCAGCCTCATGGCCCAGAGGCTACAGCCGCCACAGACCCTCCAGCCCCAGGTCAGCAAGGACACCCACTCCACTGCCCAAGCACTGCAAGCCCTAGGGTGGTGGGGGGCCAGACCCACGCCTCGAGCCCCTCCCACAGCACCCCCAGATCCATAAACTCAGGGCGGCTCATTTGCACTGTCCTGCCTGTTGCATGGGATTAAGTAACTCTAAATGCAGAAGAACCTGGGTAGGAGACCATGCTGTGGGGGTGGGGCCTGGCCCCACCCTGTCCACCCGCCCAGGCCCAGTAGGAGTTGGTGCGTGTGGTCTGCTTTGGGCCAAGAGCCCTAGGCCGAGATGAGAGCCACAGAACGTGAGCCACACCAGCCACACGCACTGCCCAGACTGGAGCAGGGCCTGCGCCCATCGTGGACACCATGGACACAAGTCCAGTGTGGGTGGCACCGAGGGGGCACCAGGTGTGTCACTGGCCCCACAGCCTGAGCGACCAGGACTCCAGAGCAGCCCCCAGGCCCCCACTTCCTGGGTGCCTCTGCCCACCACACTGGCCTGGCCAGGGCAGCCACTGTGGCCCACAGGAGCCCAGACACGCTTCAGTCCAAGGCAAGAAGGAGCCTCCTGACCATCCCAGACAGCCTCCAGGACACACTGGCCTGCTTCGCCAGCTCTGAGTCTGTCACCCAGCCCACGGGCCACCCCTACCCTCCCGTGCTCACCAGGGCTGCCTCAGGACAGTCTGCAAGGACTTCCAGGCCAGATCAGGGCCCCGCCCAAGCCTGCCAGCCCTGCCCTCTGCCCCACACCCAGCACAGGACCTAGCCTGACGTCAGCATCAGTGAGCCAGGTGTAGGGGAGACAGGAAAGCATGGGGGTGGGGGCTGGAGCAGGGGGAGGGGCATCAGTCTGAGGGTGCAGCCCCCTTTCCTCAACATCACAGCCCCTCCCAACAGCCAGAATTGCCAGGGGCCCAGAGGCCTCCCCTCCCCTCCACTCCCCTGTCCAAGCACCCCTTCCTTGGGTGTCCATCCCAGACTGAGGTGAAAGGCAGGCCCTGAGCCCAGGCAGGGGACCACGTGCCTCCAAGCAGACACCCCCCTCAGGCGGAGAAGGCTTGTCTGGGCGCATCCAGGGAATGTGGAGGAATGAGGTGGGTGGCTCCCTCGGGGCCCAGGAGGGGGGAGACAGGGAGTGTAACGCCCACAGGTGTGCACACACTCTCAGCTCCATGCGCTCTGCTGGGGGCATGGCCCCCCAGGAAGAGCAGGCCCTCGTCTGCACGAGCACACAAAGGCACGCCCTACTGAGACACAAACCCGTCATCATGCCCACAGCCTGGTGCTATCCAGGCACCATGCAGAACCCCACCCAGGACATCACAGGAGAGCCAGGGTCCCCTGAGCTGCTGTGTCTGCCAAGGAGGCGCCAGGAAGAGCCCCCCGCCCCCCAACAACAGGCAGAGACAGACATGCTGCAGAGCAGAGGGCCCAGCCAACCAGCCAGAAATCTGCACCCCAGAGTCTCTCCCTCTGGGTGGGCAGGAGACCGCCCCCGGGCACCAGGCCAACCACACACCTGAGAAGGAAACACTGCCGAGATGCAGTGTGCCGGGCCCCTGAGTACTGCCCCTGCGACCCACCCACCCCCCTCCCAGGTGGGCTCAGCCCCCCTCATCCTGCAGCTCCTGGCTCGGGGCTGGCAGGCCCAGAGCAGGGAGGGGCACACACGCTGTGGCAACCTCAACTCAGCCCAGCATGCTGGACCTCGGGGCAGACAGCAACCAACTGCCCTGGGCGGGGAGGGGACAAGCCCCCCACCTCCCTGTAAGTCTGCCACATGGAGGGCTGTGGCCATGGTCTGTCTGGCGGGATGTGGAGCCTAGGCAGCCCAGGGAGGAGCAGGGCACCGCCAGGCGCCCACCCTCCCCTCAGGCAAGGGCTCACACCTGGCCAGGTCCACCCACACACCTCCCTGATTCCGAAAGTTAGAAGTCGAGATGCAGTAGACAGATGTTGGGTGATGGATGTGAGAAGAGCAGAGAGCCGGAGTGTGGGGGCAGGTGGAGCCCATGATTCCAGCTGTGTGACTGCACCCAGCTACGCCCATGAGGTCTGTGTACTTTCCAGTCTGGACACTAAACTCCCGTGGTTTTTAAAATCGAGACGATAGCGGGCTCTTCAACCCACACAACCCACTTCCAAGGTCACAAGTGTCCCAGCCAACAGGCCACAGAACACCAGGAAATGCACACCGAGGGCCAGGACTGGAGGCACAGCACGTGGTCATAGAAGGCCCAGACCAGCTGAGGACCCCCAAGCCAGTGCAGGGCTCACAGGGGTCTGACCGAGCCGGACGGAGCCGGAGAAAGAGCTGGCAGCCCCCAAGCTGTCTTCATAATAAGTCTGCTTGTGCTGCTTCCCCTGTCCCAGAAGAGGTCCCACTCCTGCCAGCCCACGGCAGCCCCCACCGTTCCAGAGGAGCGGGCCTAACCCTTTCCCCAGGTGGGACCAGGACATCACACCTGCCGGGCGAGCTCAGAACCACATCACTGTCTGGCTGGAGACTGCACTCACCCACAGGCACGATGTTGGTGCTCAGGAAAGACCGTCTGCTCTCCAGATCAGGGCCCAGGTCCTCGGGCGAGGGCGCCATTGCAGAGGGACCTTGACTTTCAGCAGTGGGGCAGCAGGTGAGAGGAAGGGCTGGCCTGGATTAGTAGCTGAGGCAGGCCATCTGCAGGAGGCAGGGAGGGGCTGCACTGAGGTCCCTCTGCCCGAGGGCCCCCACTGTGTCCCCTGCCCAGATGGAATCTGGGCCTGCCCCTCACCACACCTCAAGAGGCAGGGGCCACGGGGCTGGTGGGGCGAGGCCTGTCCAGCCATCCAGGTTAATGCTGGGGCAGGAGGGCAGAAGGCAGCTGAATGGCAGTCCAGCCCCACTCCCTGTCCAGGGCAGCGTGCAGGGCAGCCTGACAGGAGTCAGGCAGGAGGGCGACCCCACCCGCCCGAAGTATCAAGGCTTTGAGGGAGGAGCCGGTGCAGCCAAGGGCTTCCCAGGGGACTCAGTGGTAAAGAATCCACCTGCCAGTGCAGGAGATGCAGAAGAGCGGGTCTGATCCCTGGGGCAGGGGAAGATCCCCTGGAGAAGGAAATGGCAACTCACTCCAGGATTCTTGCCTGGAAAATCCCATGGACAGAAGAGCCTGGAGGGCTACAGTCCACTGGGTAGCACAGAGGTGGACACACTGAGCACGCACATACACGCACAGGTGTAACCAGAGGCCGGGACCATATCAATGGCCTCATCACCCAAGTGCAACTGCATCTCTCTGCTGGGACTTGTCCCACAGCTCGATAAATTTCAAAGGCAAAACAGGGGATGTTTTTACAGAAACCAGACTGCCCCTTCTGCTGTGATGGTGCTGGATGCCCTGGCCATGCAGGGGTCCCACAGACCACAGGGGGAGCCCAAGGCACAGCTAGGTCCCCCTCCACCCTTTCTCCAGCCCTCAGGTGCCACTGCACTGTCACCCCCAGGTCTCTGGTCTCGGGCCCTCCCAGCCACCACTCGGTCTAGGCAGTGGCTCAAGGCCGTGCTGGCCTCTCAGGCTGCCCCCTGCCCCTGGGCTGGCTGACTGGGCTCTCACCACCCCGAGTGGGCCCAGGCCCCACCCGGCCTCCTTGCAGCCTCCACAGAGGCTCTGTGGCGCCCCGGGCCTCTGTTTAGGCCCCTGTGCTGCCCGCCCCCCACCTCCCCCGCATCTACCCAGCTCCTCACTCACCAAGCCATGTCCTTCCATAGGCTTCCTCAGTGCCCACTCCCTCCTCTGAGCCTCCTCCCTGGGGGCACAGAGAGACCACAGAGGCCTGATGGGGGCCTTGGCCACTGGACTCTGGAGCCCTCCTGATGTGCACAGGACAGAGTTTCTGAGGCCTGGCCCTGGGAGGGACATCGGGATACCTAGGCCCTCAGACCCTGGGAGCCATGCTCTGCCCAAGGAGGGAAAGACAGCTGGGGGTGGGGGCAGCACCCCCCCCAAGGGCCCCTCAGATCAGCCCTACTTTGTGTACCTTCTCCGGTCCCCCCCGGGAAGAAGGGCCCCTCCTCCACTCTGGCAGGCTACACCCCACCAGTCTCTTCTCTTGCCCCACCCCAAGATCAGCAGTAGCCCCCCCAGAATAGGCTGCCACTCCCCATACTCAACCGCCAGGGTCCCCCACCCCAGCCTTGCTCATCCCCACCCTGCTCACCCAGGAGTTCCCCGGGGTCCTGCTCATCCCACGAGTACAGGGGGAATGCCACACAGCCCTCCGTCCAGCCCAAAGGCCTCATCCACCCCAGCTGGGCTGGGCCCACCCAGGCCACCCTTGCCCTCCACAGGCCTACCTCCCATCCTGGGCCCCCCTTACCATGGCCCGGACCCCCGGCTCACCTGCAGGTAGCTTCTCCAAGGCGACTGGACCCCCACGGCCCCTTGGCCACACAGCCCAAGAGGCAGGCACCACTCCAGCCGCCGTGCCGGCTGCTGCCGGGGATCCGAGCAGGCCTTGCTTCCTGCCGCGGCGGGAGCCCAGGAGCCCTGCCCGGACACGTCTGCCGGAGCGGGGCCGGGCGTGGGGCTCGGGCTGGCACAGCAGAACCTAATTAGGCAGCAGCACCCACTGCACGCCGAGGCGAGGCCGCAGAGGACTGTGAGGTCAGCACCGGCACCGTGAGCCCTCGCTGCCGGCCCTGCCCCCGAGCCATGCCAGGGCCCTGGTGGTGCCCCTCATTCCAGTCACCCCAGCCCCCCACGGGGAGGGTCCCCAGCTTGGCCCTTCCTCCTCTCACAGGCTGACCCCCAGTTAAGGAGGGGACACCTCCCAACTCAGACCTCCAGCCTCTGCCCAGACCCCAGCCCAGATGCCAGCGACAGGCCTGGGAACTGGCCGCTGCCCATGGGTGTGCAGTCAGCATGACATCATTAAGAATCAGGCTGAGTGGGTGGGGACGGGGTCACAAGGCCCACTGGACCCCTGTCCCTCAGAGGCCAGCCAGGACAGGGCAGGAGGGTGGGTGCTGCTGTTGACGCACCAGGAACTGCTCCTTGGCAGCCACTTCGGCCCAGCCTCAAGGCTGGGCATTGGCCACTGTAGGCAGGGGAGTCTGCTGGTCTGGGTGTGGGCATTGCCATCTGCGCATATGGGCTAGGCTGGCCACCCTCCAGCCTATCTGGGCCTGTGCCCTGACCCCGAGGCTAGGTAGGAGTGACCAGGTAACATACCCACACGTCTGGGTCCAGGGGCTTCATGGAACAGGACCCACGCCCAGGAAAGGAGGGAAGGGCTTCAGTTAAGGGCAAGTCCTGGGTACGAGCAGAGATCACTCAGCCAGGGCCCGTGAGTGCAGCCTGGGACCCAGCCGCTCTGCCACAGAGAAAACCCCTCCAGGCCCCAAGGGACCTGGGTGCTGGAAGTCACACACTTGGAAAACTACATCAGAAGGAAAAAGAGAGACGTCTCATGGGAGAGACATGCACGGTGAGTGAGAGCACAGCGTTGAGTGAAGGAGTGGAGATCAGAGGGGCGACCAACCAAGGCCATGCCCCTGAGCGCTGCTTCCCAAAGTGCAGCCCACGGAACCCCAGGGTGCCCGGAACCTTTCAGGGGCCCACAAGGTCAGAACTGTTCTCATGATTCCTTCTCCTTCCCCGCTCAGATGTGTGCACCAACAGGGGCAGTGGGTAGAATTCGCTCTGCACGGATCAAGGCTGCGGGGCCACATCCTCATGCCCTGCATCACCACGTGCTCAGGATTGAACAAATGAAAGCCTGTCTCCCTGAGCACGTCCTCAAC